TCTTCCGAGCAGATAATAAATGTGAACGAAGTAGGCTCTGAAAGTTCATTTTTAATGCTGTGAGAAGGAGTTACAAAAGAGTTGGGCAGGCAAACATACTAATTACTTGTTTAACCCATCTTAACCTGCTGTAAATTCACCAGCCCTTCGATTTTTGTCCACTGACCCATCTTGGAAGCCAGCCCATCAGAAATAATCTTAGGCTCATGCCTAGGATTACTTCCTGGTGAATGGCAACTATTTTTGGGCAGCAGTTTTAATGCAAGGCCCGAGATTTGCTCCTTTTTCAAGCCATAGTGTTTCTTTGCTTTAGAATCGCATGTGGAGGAAGACCCGCTCCAAGAATCAAGGCAGTCTGTGTGTTGGAGTTGATCCAAACAGGAACTGGGATGCAGGTTTTGGAGGTAGGTATGAAGTTTCTGGGTGCTGGCTGGCCCTAAGAAGAAAGTTTCCTTTCACATTCATGGATCCCTTTACACAGGACCAGCAATCGCCTTCGTATAAGGGATTCTGAAAGAAAATGGTCAAATAGGATGGCAGCTGTCCTCTGTAAAGAGAATTTCTTGATTAATTGCCAGTGAGCAGAAGATGAAGGCAGTAATCTGTATAATCTAGATCTATGTCTCTTGAGTATTCATGCTCTGTTGCTGCTGTTTTGAGTGTTTATCAGCACTTAAGGGCTTGTCTTCTGCCAAAGACCTGTTCTTAGGAAAGCCCGGCTTCATGTTGGTCTGCTTTGACCTTTCAGGTTTTCCTACAGGTTTCCCTTTGTTCCCTCTTTACACCAACAGGTCCTGGAGCCAGTAGTAATCCCTGTTCTGACTCCTACCGTGGGCCCAGTGCCAACTCAGAGGTGGAAGTTAAATCTGTTGTCGACTTTATTAAGAATCATGGAAACATCCGAGCCTTCCTCACCCTCCACAGCTACTCTCAGCTCCTGATGTATCCCTACGGCTATAAATGCACTGAACCAGCAGACTACGCTGAGCTGGTGAGACATAACTTGGCTTTAGCTTCCTCTGTTCTGCTCAAGCATTACAATATCAGGATAAAAACAAGAGGCTGAACTCTGCCATCCCTAACAGTAACCATCCGTGAGAGCGAACGGAAACCTGGGGCTGTGCAATGACTGTAAAAGAGAAGTCTTGATCATATGAAGGTGACATGTGGCATTCCCATCCCTTCTCAGCCCTGTTTTCTCATCCATGTTTCCTTTCTGCTTTAACAAGAGCATCACAGCTGTAGTAATTTCTTTGAGATGGTACAAATATCACAATTATAATTTAAGTGGAAAGGACCCCCTGAGGTCTCCAGTCTGGAAGCAGGCAGGCTTTGGAGTCAGAGCCAATTTCAAGGTTGGATTGGGTTGCTTAGGGCCTTGCCCAGCTGAATTTTGATTCATTGTTTTGATGTTTTGAAAGATAAATTCCACTTCTTCAAGCCCTTCCCAAAGTTTCCCTGCTGTCATGGAGATTTTCTTTTGCCCTAATACCTAAATGCAATTCCCCTTCTGGCAGTTTTTTTACTGCCCCTCGTCCTTTTGCCCTACACATCCAAGAAGAGCCTGGCTCTGTTTTCTCTACAACCACTCTTTATGTTGCTGGAGTGAGCACAAAGCTGACCACTGACTATTGGAAGGTCTCCAACTGCCTTGGGATTTTCTGCTATCCCTTGAACCTTCTCTTGACAAGACAGTTGGTGAGATGAAACACCAGATCCTGCTGGGATGGTGTGAAAGATTGGAGATTTTGTGAAAGACTCCAGAGATTTCCCTGAGTATGGTTCAGGTTGGCGAAATATTAACATTTAGTCTCATTAAGTGTGGCTATTTTGACTCATCCTTCATCTTCTCCTCTCCAGGATGCCTTAGGAAAAGCTGCTGCCAGTTCCATCCAGTCCCTGTACGGCACCACCTTTACAGTGGGGAGCATTTGCAGTACTATCTGTGAGTATTTTGCTACTCTGAGCTTTTAAGTGTTGTCCTAGGGCAAAAATTTCGGTTCTCCTCTCTTGTTCCACTCAGTGGATGGGTGAATCCTTTGAATTCTCCATGACAAACCAGTCCCTGCACTGGTGCAAGGGGCAGTTGAGTCACGACAATGACTCAGAGGAACAGTTGTACCATAACTTCATTAACTGACAGCTTTAGGAGGGTGGCAAACGTGGAGAATCTGGCAACAAATAATGGATAACTGTCAATGAACAAAAGGCAACTGGTGAATAAAAGGCACTTTGGCAATGAGAACAATCTTTTACCAACCCATATCAGTCCGTGCATGTGAGAAGGAGGGAGAGAGTAAGAAGAAAAAGAGAAAAGAGAAAGGAATAGAGAGAGGGAAAAGATATCACCACCCCTGGGATCCAGCGTTGTTGTCGAGCGGCAGGTTTTCATTCCATGGGTGGTAGGATCGACCAAAATTTGGGTAAGAGGTTTATTTTTCATAGTCTCTCTTGTGCGTGTGTGATTGGCTGGCTAGTCCAGGCATTGCCTTGTCAATCAACGGTACATGAAGGGTACACCTTTATGTGTGATTACAAAACACCAACGTGCCCCTGCATGCAACAGATGTAGTCAATAATCCTTATTTGCATATTCATGGGTGTCACTCATAATATGCATTTGGTCCTTAATGAAGCAAAAGGTAACGTGTGGTCACTGAAGAGTGGGGTGGGTCTGCTGTCCCAACTTCTTGAGCCCCCTTCTCCCCTCCAATGCCTTTCCTTATCATTTGTCTCTCTTTGTTGCCTCTCAAGGTGTTTCTCAAGGCCTTTTTCTTAGATAGCTTATCTCCATCTTTCTCCATTGACAACATCCTGCCTCTGTTTAGTGTCTTCTCTAACTGTGTGAGACATTTTAACCTCATACTGTCCAGGCCTTTACACTCGTTTCTCTCTCTTGGAAGCAGTGATGCTTCTGTGAAGAGACATCACCAATCAAACATTGGAGTGTTTGCATGAAAACCTAATATCTGTCCTTCACAGATCATAGAATCACAGCATGGTTTGGGTTGGAAGGGACCTTAAAGCTCCCCCAGTCCAACCCCCATGGGCAGGGACACCTCCACCAGCCCAGGCTGCTCCAAGCCCCGGCCAACCTGGCCTTGGGCACTGCCAGGGAGGGGGCACCCACAGCTTCTCCGGGCAACTTGGGCCAGGGCCTCACCACCCTCACAGGGAAGAATTTCTTCCTAATATCCAGTCTAAATCTCCCCTCTTCCAGTTTAAAACCATTCCACCTCGTTCTATGGCTCCCTGCCCTTGTCAAAAGTCCCTCCCCAGCTCTCCTGTAGGATATAAAATGTTGGACAGCAGAACTCAAATCAATCCTTGGTTCACTCCTCTGGATCTTGTCCCCTTTTCTTTCAGACCAAGCCAGCGGAGGCAGCATTGACTGGAGCTATGATTACGGCATCAAATACTCCTTCGCCTTTGAGCTGCGAGACACGGGGCGCTACGGTTTCCTCCTGCCAGCCAACCAAATTATCCCAACTGCAGAGGAGACCTGGCTGGGTCTGAAAAAGATCATGGAGCACGTGCGAGACAATTCATCCTAAAAACTGGGGTGGGAATCAGCTGTGTGGAGCAGCAAGGTCATAAATCCTCTGCTCTCGGTGTGCTTGCGACAGTTACAATGGCTGAATAAAAACCCCTGTGTGCATTCCTCCTACATAAAGGATGTTTCATGCTTGTCTTGTTCTCTGCATCTCCATGTGTGCATGGTAGACCCCTTAGAAGATTTTAGGACACAGTTGTGGTCCACCTCAATGAGACGCGGTAGCAACAGTGACAAGAGGAGGATGGAAGATGTGGCTGTTGAGATGTCAGAGTGACCTCTGGTGAGGTGAAGGGAGCAGGCCTTTTCCCACCCGGATAAACAAGAAGGCAGCTGAGGGACTTGCGTCAGCGCAGAGGCTGAGGGGAGATTAAATGTAAGAGCAGGAAGGAAAGGAGGAAATGCTCATCCCTCAGCTCAGAACTGCTGCAAACCATCCTGCCGTGTGACCTCTGCAGCTCCATCCATGTTAGTAAACACAAAATGGTTTTACTCCGAGCAACGCAAGCCCTGAGCAGTGTTTTGTGCTTCTGCAACCTCCCTGCCCACTCAGCAACCCCCTCCTCACAATCAGCGCAGAAATTGGCTCCCAGCAGGCTGAGGCTGCGGGTTTTTTTACAGTATTTCTGACATTTGTGGACTGAAAGCAGTGGGAACTCTTCAGAGCTGCTGAAGCACTTGAATGATAAACGAGATCATCTAGAAAGTTAATTGCTCCACTACTGCGGCGTAACTGCGGGTTAGGGGATTACGTAGCACTTGAATGATAAACGAGATCATCTAGATAGTTAGTTGCTCCGCTACTGCGGCGTAACTGCGGGTGAGGGGATTACATGAGCCCCTCTTATGGTAGCATCCCATGGAGATTTAGAGGGGATAGGGAAAAAGTTATTCTTTGAGCAAAACAACTCCGTGTTGCTGCTGTCATAAACCTGGGGGCTGCAGCAGAGCTCGCTTCCAGGGGCAGAACGGGCTTGTGCAGGGGGCCTGATGTTAAGCAGCATAAGCCAGACTAATTAAAAGGAATTTAATTTCCCTTAATGAGACTCAGAATGCTCCCAGTCCATGCTGGTGGGAGCGGGAATTTCCTGGCCTGATATCCCCATATACTTGTCCTGCCCCTTTTCTCCCTCTCAGTTTTGGCCAGTGGCCATGGTTGGAGGATGGAGGTTGGAGGATGGCCACTCTCACCCAGCACGGCCAGTCCATGGTCCCTCCCTTGATAGGACCTCATCTCTCTTGTTCTCTTCTTCACCCCACTAATTTCTTGGGGATTAAGAGCAAACAGCTCAGGGCCCTGCATGGGAGCCACTGAAGGATCAGAGATTCGCAATCCCTGCTGCTGTTGTGGTGATTATCGAGTCTAACAGGTTTATCTCGATGTCCTGTGATTCCCCCCAGCAGATGCTGAGTTACTCACTCCAGGAGCTTGGCAGGAGAGCAAACACACCTGACACAGTGAGTAAAGTGTTAGTTCAGACTCAAAGGAAGCTGTTGGCAGGGAAAGGAAGTTGAAGGTGGTGATGAGGCATCAGGAAGCACCACATGGAGTTGTTTTTGAGTTCAGTTGAGCTGTTTTGGAAGGCAAACTCAGCTGCTACTCCCCACACATGTCCCTGTCCCCTCTGTTCATGGCTCTGAGTGGTGGCACCTGCTTCCCAAAGTGGCCCATCCTTCCAAAAATCCCGTCTAGCCAGCAATTAAAAACACCACTGGTAAAACCCCACTGATGGGGACTGCCCAGGGCACACAGTTATCCTTTGGACCTGGCCAGGTGCATGGACCTTGTGGCAGGGTGAGCAGAAGCAGCAGACCCTGAGGAGTCTCAGTGGGGTTGTAGACTCATGGCTTTGAAGCTCCATCCAGGTCCTGAGGCCACCTAGGCCCTCCTTTTCTAAGTGGGTGTCTTGATGACAACTGCATCCAGGTTTTGGACCCCTGGCATCAAAAAGACTTGGAGCCAGACTGGTGGTGGCCACCAGAAGAGACAGGAGGATGTGTCCCATCGTGGGATGTTGAGGGAGATGGGCTGGTTTGGCCTGGAGATGAGAGAGTTTTGGGGTAGAGAGGACCTAATGGGGACCTTCCCATCCCTATGAAGGAGTTATTGAAAAAAATAGAGCCAAGCTCTTCACTACAAAATGTTTTCCAACAGGAGGACAGTCCAGCAGTGGGACACATTGCCCAGAGGGGCTGTGCAGCCTCTACCCTTGGAGGACTCTGAGACCCAGCATGAAGGGACCAGATCTACCCCCAAAGCTGACCTTGCTTCATCAGATGCAGATCTCCTGTGGTCCCTTCCCATCTCAGCTGTCCCATGATCCTGCCTCAGTGAGGATCTCTACCCTGGCATCACCAGCCAGGAATGGCTCATCAACATCCTCAAGGTCCTGAACCTCGGTCAGAGCAATTCCAAGCACAAACACAGGTTGGGTGGAGAATGCACTGAGAGCAGGCCTGAGGAGAAGGACTTGGGGTGTTGGTTGAGGAGAAGCTCAATGTGAGCTGGCAGTGTGTGCTTGCAGCCCAGAAACCAACCCCAGCCTGGGCTGCATCACAAGAAGTGTGGCCAGCAGGGCCAGGGAGGGGATTCTGCCCCTCTGCTCTGCTCTGCTCAGACCTCACCTGCAGGGCTGTGTCCAGTTCTGGGGCCCCCAATATAAGAAGGACATGGAGTTGTTGGAGCAGGTCCAGAGAAGGCCATGAAGATGCTCAGGGGCTGGAGCACCTCCCTCATTAGGACCAGCTGAGAGAGTTGGGGTTGTTCAGCCTGGAGAAGAGAAGGCTCCAGGGAGACCTTAAAGCACCTTCCAGGACCTGAAGGGGCTACGAGAAAGCTGGGGAGGGACCCTTCATAGTGATAGGATGAGAGGGAATGGTTTTAAACTGGAAGAGGGGAGATTTAGACTGGATATTAGGAAGAAATTCTTGACTGTGAGGGTGGGGAGGCCCTGGCCCAGGTTGCCCAGAGAAGCTGTGGGTGCCCCCTCCCTGGCAGTGCCCAAGGCCAGGTTGGCCGGGGCTTGGAGCAGCCTGGGCTGGTGGAGGTGTCCCTGCCCATGGGGGTTGGACTGGGGGAGCTTTAAGGTCCCTTCCAACCCAAACCATTCTGTGATTATGTGATCACCAGTTCCACATTATGAAGCTATAACAGATCCCCAGCCAGGGCACTCACCCTGGTGTTGGAGCAACCAGAAAGACAACCTCATTTTAATGGGAAAAAAACCCCACAATTAGAAGATGTCTGCTAAAAATCTGACCAAGACGTTGTCTGCCAGCCTGGGAACCCGGCCCGGTAACCCAGAGCATCCTTGACGAGCACAGACGGGAGCTCAGGGCCATCGTAGATAAGCGCCCAACAAAGACCCCGCTATAACCTGAGGAACAAAGACGCTGCTATAACCTGAGGAACAAAGAAACCACTATAACCAACTGACCTCTGAGGACAGCAGAAGTCAGCAGC